AAGGCTCTAAAAAGGACTGCTACTTTTTTTGGTGCTCATGATGTTTTATACCATTTTCATCCATCGACATAGCAATTTGGTTATTTCTGAACTTGAGGGTGGCTTTGGCCCTTGAAATATTTGGTATTAGCTTATCCCATCTGGATCATCTTTATAGTAGCTCTTTGTTTCTAGTAAATTCTCTGTTGTTTAAAAGATTGTTCAGATGCCATTGAGTTCTTCATTCGATAAGTCTCTGAATTCCTCTAGGGTGTCATAGCAAAGGATCATGAAATTGGTGTAATTAATATTCTGCCTGAGATCTGATAGTGTTCTAGCCCAATTCTTGAGATGTTTTCTGAGTCTTTTAAATTTTGCAGCAATGGGTTTAGCACTATCCACTTCATTGATCTGTTGCTCCCAAATTTTCTTGACCACCTCCCTGAACTGATTGTGTTGTACCCAAAAAATTTCAAATCTAAAAATGTTGGCTCTAGGGATATTGCACTAGTGCATCGATGTGCTATACAAACGGTTTTACCCCCTTTTGGGTACAGAGTTTTAAACCATCGCCTTACTTGTGTGCGCGATAAGGAGGGTCCATCCCACATGACCCAGAAATCGTCGGCGTTAGGGAGCGATGATGCAGATGCTCTACCATATATAATCATATACGATGCAGGAACATATCACACACATTATAGTCTGGCACACATGTGGGATTGGGGATCAATCGCCCACGTCTCTCGTGAGTCAAATGTTTCTAATTGCGCAGGGAAACCAAATGGTGTTTGACATTCGACCGTTTGTGAAATATTACCTAAGGCACATGTGCCATCATAGAAATTGTGCGTGATATGTGGCCCATCGCACACGAGTGTTCTATGGCAAGCGTCTGTCACGCATGACATCATCGCACACGTTTCCTGAAAAAATTATGAGTGAGATTGCATTTTGCATTGGGCACGGGTTCCTCGAAGGTCACGCATGCGATAATGTGCTATCACAAACGGTTGAGGAGCCCCTACGCACACGTAGAAGTGCCACAAATCGCCTGTGATTTATTGTGTATCACCGACGGTTCAATTTATCATGTCTGCTTTTCCTATAGATCACAGGGGCTGCGGTATGAGTGACGTGTGCTTGGCCTCTCTCGCTTCCTCCCCCTACCATTGTTTAGAACCCTTGCTATCTTATACAAAATCAAACTATGACCAACCTTCTTACCAGCTAACATATTCCTACAACTACAAAGAATATTAATCAAACTATATGTTTTGCAACAATAGCAAACATTCTTGTGTGAAAATAAATAGGCACAAAAGCACACACCATCTCATGAATTTCATGTTTCAAAATTCAGGTCAAAAAGATGATACACGAGTGTGATAATTATGTCACATGATTGACCTTAAATACAATGTGATAATTATATCACATAAATAAAATAGTACCCTTACATATAATTGCTCACTAATATTATAACACCAAAATAGATGGGCGCAGCAACACGCGCATTCAATGATCTAGTAGGGACATTATGAGAAGCCTGACTGATGCTCTTAGCCCAAGGACAAACACACGACCTATTTGGTTGGCTTGCTCAAAAAACTGTCCGACTAAGGCAACATTACCGGGTGTTGGATTTTGGAGGGTTAACATTGAGATTGCTGCCTGGCTAAGAGCATCTCCAATAGCAGCCCTATTTTCGGGCATGAGGTGTTTTGGGAGCACGATGAGGTAAAAAATGGCCTCCAACAACTAGCCAATCGCAAAAGAATTGCAAAAGGAAAAAATTTGGCAGCGCTTAAATACACCGCGGAGTGTTGCAAATATACATAACTTCGGCTGCTGCCCCAAAAGAAAACGACACATAGTCATGACCCAGCAGTCGTCTTCCACACACGCAGCCGCACACCCGCGCCACTCCCACCTTCAGATATGCGGCTATCACACCCCGCCATCGCCGGATCCACTTGTCGCACCCCACCCGTTGGCTGTCGGACCGATGAATCGCCCTGCGACTGCCCCCTTTTCGCCGAAATCTGCCATGCCACCGCCCCCTTTTTTTTGCCAAAGTTTGCCACGCCGCCGCCGCACCGGTGTTGCCTCTCCTCCTCGGCGCTGCTGCCTCCTCGCCATGCCGCCGAAGGCAAGGGCAAGAGGGGATTCAAGAGGGTGCGGCTCAGGCTGTCCGGCAACTACGGCGTCGAGTTCCAGCACGACGGCCGGAGGTACTGGCTCAACACGTTGCCGACTACCAACCATGCCCTCGCGCGATTCCAGAATTCGTGGCCCGAGCTTCATTCATTGATTTATTCGGGTGCATTCCTTTCGCACCCGGGTTATGAAATTCCGTACTCATTAAGTGTTGGCCCCCTTCATCGCCAGATTTAGTCGCCTCGTGGAGGCTTGGCCTCACGTGCTCGAGGCTCAATTTCCTGAAGATTGAGTCTCGGGCGAATGCCGAACTTGTCGGGTTGTCGATGATAATCGAGTCAAGTCCGATCAAGTCGGCTACCCGCATTGTTGTCGAGGAGTAGGACAACATTAGAGAGAGCGGTGAGGAGCGATGACAGCTTTTGCTAGGGTACATCTGGAGTATGTGCAGGTTGAGATGGAGTTCTACTGGAAGACGGACGTTGCGCAGTCGAAGTGCAAGAACGACACCGAGGCAGGGCCTTCGTCGTCACAGAGGAAGAAAAAGAAGAATGCATGAGCCTTGAGTGTGTTCAACGTCGATTCTGACGGCAAGAGTGATGGGTTCGATGATATTGAATGGGATAAACTATAGTGTTTATAGTTTGCTTGTCGTAGTTTAAGTTGGTAGTTTAATTTTGCATGTCGTATTTAAACTATGTTTATAGTTTGCATGTTTAAATTTCGGTCGAACTACGTATGAAATATGGTCGAAGTAGCTCGAATGTTAGTTCAAACAAATTTGGTTTTATTTATCTAGATGCCCTATTTTAAGACAACTGTTGGAAACGTTGCCTTGTCATGCGAAAAAAACTGTTTTCGTGCCCGAATATTTCTACAACACCCCGTTTCCGTGCGTGCAACTATTGGAGATGAACTGTGGAGTAGCTGTCGGGCGTTGGATTTGGAAGACTGAGGCTGAGATTGCTGGCAAGCCAAGAGCTGCGTGTCAGACCTTCATCCAAACAGGCCCTTATGAATTAGGACTATGCTTAGCATTAGTCATTAGTAAGACTAGTACTGACAGATAAAGTGAATTGATCGCTAGTGCACACCATGTTCCTGGCAGCATCCTGTCTGAATCCTAATCCACTGATGCGCTCAATGATTGTGTCTCAGATGATTATTTTAGAGTTAATTACACTTTTGATACATAAACTGGCATTCGACGTACAGATTCATACAGACTTGAAAAATGACACAAATCAATCCTACAACTTGCGTTTCAGGTGCACTTCAGTACATTTTCCGTTAACTCGCCGTTAAACACAGCATGCCAGCTGGCCCATGTTCCGACCTACGTGTGGGTTCCATAAGTCAGTTGCCAGGTAAGAAACTGATACAAATCTGCAACCAAGGGCGACAAGTCGCACAAACCATTTGCTAGCCACTACATCACCTGGTAGCTTGTGTTAATTGTAGAGTTCGATTCTATTTATACATTTTTGAGAATAATAATTGATTTGACGTCAAAATACGCGTTGCACAGAGGTTTGGACAAGGCTTTTCTCGTTATTTTTTGTTCTATTAAAAAGTCATATTGTTTAACATAATAATTGATTAAAAGCCAAAATACGTGCCGCAGAGGGGGTTTGAAATAAGGTTTTTTTCTTCTTCTTGATTTTGGTTTTTTTGTGAAGGGACCCAAAAAGTGTTATCCAATGCTAAAAGAATCCACTTTTCGCATATGAGTTGTTATGGTTCACGCCTTATCACTTGGACAAAAGTTGTTATACGAAAACATGTGCATATGAGCATCTGACCATTTGAATTCTAGTTTTTTTTAACGATGTCAAAAGCATTCACGGCTCACGGAAATATCAGATAGCCGGCTGACCGGGAAAAACAGTGATGAGAGACCCACTCATACAATAAATCCTATGCAACATACATTTTAGATTCGAATCAGTTTTCCTGATAAAAAAATACAAATAACTATATATCTCTAACATTAAGAAGAAGTAACAGGTTGCAATGGCTAGTGTCTGATGCATGCAACACAACGTCTTGAGTTTGAATCCTAAAAACATTATCACTTACATCTTTTAAATCAAGCGAAAAGATACCGACATTGAGAAGAAAACAAAACTTGTTCAAACGCCAGCACATAAACATATAAATAATATCTATCTCTAACATAAACATATAAGAATAGGTGGTGTAGTGGAGGAGCGCGCGTATGGAACACCTCTCCTTTCTTCACACCAACTCATACTAGTGGGAGAATAGCTCACCTTATAAGTTGATGTACACCTCTCTCAACTAGCTATGTGGGGACTAAACTTCCCGCCACTCAATTGACAGTATGGGCCCTTAGGAATTTTCTGAAATTGTTAAATGGGTCTATAGCCCAACTAATATTCAGCAACATGCAGCTCATGTGTTGTGTTTAACGGAGAGTTAACGAAAATGTATTGAAACGTACTCGGAATGCAAGTTATATGGTCGATTTGTGTCATTTTCAAGTTTATGTATGAATTTGTACATCGAGTCCAAGTTTATGTATCAAAAGTGTAATTAACTCATTATTTTACATCTTGAGAAATGTCCCCAATTGTTACTCCCCAAGGCATGTCAGTAAAAACCATAAGAGAGTGCTCACTTGATTGATTAAACTAAGCACAAATCCCCAAACCAGACCAAGATCCACTGAGAAGAGTATGGCACACAAAAAAGAGAGCAAAACAGTAGTACGTAATAAACAACACAGGATCCAGATGACCAGAGATGTCTCCACGACTGCTCGCACTCATACGGCGACAAACGGAAGCTCACAACTCACAGGGCGCCATCCATCCATCCTCGGCCGGCAAACCTCCGGACTACAGCAGGTTCAATCCGGCAGCGGCCACGGACAGCACGGACGCGGCGACCGTCACGGCGAACGAGCTGCTGACGGCCGGCGCGGCGTTGGGGTGCGGCGAGGGCGCGGCGCCGGCGCGGCCGGCCGAGCCGCCGCCCGCGGCTCCCGGGGCGGGCGCCATGGCGGGGGCGGTGGAAGGGGCAGCGGAGGAGAGCACGCGGACGTCCACCTTCTGACCTATGGCGCAGTGGCCCGGGAAGCCGCAGAGGAAGTAGTGGTGGCCGGTGGTGTTGAGGACGACGGAGTCCTTGCCCGTGGCCCAGGTGGCCGTCGGCTTGGTCACGTTGCAGTTCTTGTAGTCCGCCTTGCTCACCGCGATCACGTTGTGGAACTGCTTGTTGTACGTGAACACTGCGGCAAATTTTCCAGCCAAAGCACAAGTTAATCATCACAGGAGCAAATTAATTTGACATAACCATGATAATGGAAACGACAATCATCCGCACCGGCTATTTACTCGATCGAAATCGGCATGTTGTTAATTAGACTGTTCAGGCCATGCATCTGATAAAATTAATGCCCTAGGGCATGAACATTCTCATGGGAGAATTTCTGTTTTTTTGGTTGTTGAGGAACAACATGAGAACATTCTCATATCAGAAAGTATCCTACCAACCCACTCACTAGTCACTAACAATCAGCTCCCCACCGCCCACCTATGTGCAATTCTGCATCCATTCGAGCAGGCTACAAATCACTCTCATTACAACAGCCCCCTGACTAATTTTCTAAAAGATATGCATCTTGGTTTACCAAACACAGATCAGATGCGCCACGCGTACCTCTCATAAAGATATTCGATCTAGGGCTAAGTTAAACATGCTAAAACCCACAGCAAGTATAACTCGAGCGGCATCTCCTCCAGTGGAACAAATAATATGATCACCATGCTCGCAAACTTTACAGCTCATGATCACACCTCAACCAGGAATCCACTTATCCAGATTGCAAACACCATAGTTTGGCCGGCAACCTATCATACATTACACAGTGGTAATCATAGACCCTCTTCCTGGATGGGCCATAGCTATACAAATTTTGTGGTTCTGTGATCATTACGAGTGCTCTCTAAAGATGGCATACATGTGTCATTCCTTTCGGCCCACCGAGAGCTACCAACCAACCAGCCAGCAATGAGAGCGCATGCATCAAGGTGAGTTGGCAACAGCAACAGGTTCCCAGCATAATTTGACAAGTTGCAAAAGGGGTTCCAGGCAGATCGGGAGGGGAACAAGAACAGCTTGGAGTCGAGGGGGATGATGGTCCACCGAGGAAGTGCATGCCCCATTGATGAATGGGTGATGAGGAGTGGAACAAGGAACAATCAGAGGATGATAGTGTGTGTTGATGTGCACCATCTTTGATTCTTGATGTTGGGCAAAAAGTTTGCCTGGTGGGTACATCGCACTAGACTAGACGAATTTTCACCCTCCTAAATATGGTAATTTAATTGTGTGCAGAAACAAAAATTGATAAACTTTTTAGAATCTATATCCAGGAGGGTGACCTTGTAACAGGCAACCACCGAGTGGGAATCAGCAGTTGCCTTGCCCCACGAGACAGTGACACCAGGAACACACACGTGAGCTTACTCAGGCAGGGGCTTTAAATAGCTTTCAAGATTGTAAGTTGCATGATTCGATTCTGGCAAATCGTACCTGGTGTGACATTTCAAAGGTAAAGCGAATGCGCAATTTAGTCAAGCTTCTAGTTTTTGCTGCATCTAGGTGAAAGCGTCAAGAATTTAAAGTGTTGTGAAATTGTTGGTAATCATGGTACACGGCTGCTTTTTGAATGAATTATTGCACATGTGCGATCAAACAGTAGTGCAGTTTTTGTGTGTACCAAGTGTAATAATAATTTATTTTGCTCCATGGCACATGATGAATTCAAGAGGTTTTGGTCACTGAATGCAAAAGGAAAACGAATGGCTTGGAAAGGCAGCGCACTAGACTTTCTGTTGGCCTGTGGAAATAGCAAACGAAGGCAAGAAAACCTATCTTACGCAACAAAGCAAACGGAGCCTTTAGGGCTGAAAACAAGCATTAAAGCACGCCTTGTTTCACGCTTTAGCATTAGCAAAACCGATCCTCACTTTCCAGACACGAAAGAAGACAATGATGTGTGTGTGCCTATTAGTAGTAGCACGAGTATGTTCTTTTGGAAATCGGAAATTATCTTCTGTTTTTTTGCTCGGAGAAGAAAAGAGCCCCTCTCTCGAGTGCGCGCACGCAGACATCAGGTAGCCGGTCACGCTTCTTGGCTGAAAACAAGCAGGCAAACAAAGGGCAGCAGCAGTTTGTTCCGGCCAAAGTTCCCTCCCTGGGATTTAGTACGGCCGGCCACAGGCAAGCTGCCAATGCCAAGACACGCCACCACACGGTGCTCGATGTAGAGTACACCAGATTACTGGTACTGCTCCGTCCGTCCGTCTAGGCGAACAGAGAAAACCAGAAGGGCGGGGCAGGAGGACGAGCCCGACATGGCGGGAAAGCTGGCGGAGCGCCCGGACGTACGACGGCCGGGTTCTTCAGGAAGAAGGCAGACGGAAAAGCCACGGCGACTTGGGACCCCACAACCATGGGGCCATCCTTCTTTTTTTTTGGAGCTTCCATGGGTCCATCCTTGCGGGGTCAGGTTAGGTTGGTGCTCGGTCAGGCTGGGCGGTAGTTGGTCTTCTCTTGTGTCGTGCAACGCCCTATGCGTGTGTGAGTGAGGTGAGGCCCATCGGGGTGCCGTCCTCTCCGCCGGGCGGATGCAGTTGCGGCCTTGCAGTACCAGACGCGTCCGGCGTCCCCCACCACGACTGCGCACCGGCCCGGCCACGTTGCGAAAAGCGCCGAAACAGCCAGGCCAGGGACCCTGCCTGCGCGGACCACTACGGGGGCAAAGGTCCGAGTCACGCTGTGGGGGAATATCTCAGTCTTTGCAGTGCAGGAACCGAGTGCTCGCTAGCCCTGTCGACACAGCTTCTCCCGCCAGAGTTATGCACTGTGCACCACAGCAGCCTCAGCTAGATCTGTGGCATGCGTCTGTGGTCTGGTTCTCTCTTACTCTCTCAATTATCATGTACTCCCTCCGTTCACAAATGTGTAATACAGTATGTTCAACTTCTTTCTCAGTCGGATGTATATAGGCACGTTTTAGGGCCTATTCGGAGTCTCACCACTCCAAAACTCCACTCCCGGAGCGGGTGTAGCTTCAGCTGAAAATAAAGGAGCGGCGAAACACCCCCTCCGTAGATCCTCGTATTTCTCTCGGAGCTGGCGGACTACTAAACAGGACCTTAGTGTGCTTGTTCACTCATTTTAGTCCGTATATGGTTCATATTAACATATTCAAAACATATTATTTTTTTGAACGGAGGGAGTAGTTTGTACTCACCTACTCCGTAGTAGGACTGCGATATCTGCTCACACCACAAGTCATGCTTGCACTCGATAAAGTCGGGCTTACACGGTACACACGACACACCCAACCCATGCAGCGTGTACCACCGAGCAGTGAATTAATGAAAGCTTTGACTGGAGTCACGTCGTGCGCGGCGTTCGCGCCGCGCCGAATCACACCGACCACGGGGAGCGCACGGCCGCCAAACTAGAGTGGATAGCACCGCCGGCCGTGAAGCCAGCTGCACGCCATGCGCCTATCCCAAGGTCGCGTTGTGTGCATACGTCAGGCGGTGCGCTGGGTGCTCTCGCGCGGCAACAGGTTGCGGCGAAAGCCAAGAGGTTTGGGATGGATAACGATTGACGTCGCGCGTCCAACGCCTTCTATGCCGCACAAGGAGCGAGAGCGAGCGGTGCCGACTTACTGCCGAGTGCTCTACTTCTCGGACTAGTGGCCGTGTCGTCGTGTCTCTCTCCGCCGGCGAGCTCTGTTAAATAATCCTACTGCAGTTCAGAAGTGGGAGTCGGGCCCGCTTCCACCTTCTAAAACGAGTGGTGGACTGGTGGCTGGCAGGGTCTAGTAGATTGACTGGACAGTGCAAAATGCTATGTGGCTCTCGCTTGTGTGAGCTTCTGCAAACTTATCGTATGCGCGTGCACCCCCGAATGATAAATTTAACCTAAGCGCAGGTGAAGATACTATCTAAGAAGTTCTGAGCAGCACAGAGCCCGAGAGCCGTTTATGGACAGAGCTCCGGGCACGAGGGTTTGGGAACGATCCTAGTCCTCGAAGAAGAGCAAAAAGCCACGTGCTCAATCTTCCGGTTTCACCAACATACTAGTTCTTGTTTGTTTTTACACCGGCTGAGATTCTTCTTCTTTTCCTTATACCAAGGAATTTGGAAGAAAAATCGCAGCCATGTTAGAACGAGGGGAGCAGGTTTCACCAACATAGTTCTTGTTTGTTTTTTACACCGGCTGAGATTCTTCTTTTCCTTCTGCCAAGGAATTTGGAAGAAAATTCACAGCGATGTTAGAAACTTAGAACGAGGGGAGCAGAGCGCGCGAGCGTGACGTAGAGAGGTGCGAGGGAGGGGCTGGAGGCGTACCAAGGGTGTCGCCGAGGCTGAACTTCTTGGAGGCGGCCCAGGCGCCGTAGTCGGGGCTGCCCATGATGGTCCACCCGAGCTTGTCGCCCACCTCGTACACGGCCGCCGACGCCATCCCGGCCCACATCGCCGCCGCCACCAGCGCCGCCAAGGCCACGGCCGAACCTCTCCTCAGCGCGGCCATGGCTACCACCGAGGTTGACACACCAGCTGCGGAAAGGAGAAACTCCGGCTACTTCCTTGCTCTGTTCGTGCTCACTCAGTGGACTGGAGAGTGGAGTGTAGGCAGAGGGTGGCGGTACTGTCCGGTTGGTTAAATAACCCGACATGCTCCGAGAGCCTTTCTGGCCCGGCCCGCAGCCCCGGAATTCCAGAAATGTCCCCGGCGGCTAACGTTCGGTGAGGCGGTTTTAACGGGTGCCCGATGGTAATCTCTCTCGCGCGTTTTTGCAACCACCGGCCCGGCCATCGCTCGGCCAGCGCCGCACCGGCCGGTCACCGCTCATGGCTCGCGCGTCGCAACTACGCTGCGGGTGCTGCCCGGCCAGCCGCTGCATGCTTTTTTTTAAGTGTAAAGCAAAGCTTTATAGATTAACGGTGTCCCAGCTTGTCAGCAGAGACACAAACAGCCACTCGGGGCGGTGGTCCAGCTAAAATTGAAATTTAGAGAACATAAATGGCCTATCGAAGCTAGCTCATGAGCTACTGAGAGGGTGCTTGGATACAAGGGATTATTTTTAGTCTGACTAAAAATAGTCTCTTTTAGAGGCTAAAGTTCCAAGCACCCCTGACTTGACTAAAGAGAGACTAGGACTAGTCTTGAGGCTAAAAATTTTTAGTCATAGAAAACCTACTAAAATATGTATTAGCCCTCTCTCTCTTTATTTAATTCCTCCCCTTTAACACATGCGAGTTCTGGATTGGAGGGTTTGGAGGATAATAAATGCTCAATAACTTGATTTTAGTCTCTTTAGTATTTGGATCCAAGCATGGATGAGGCTAGCAAGTTTTAGTCACACTATTTTTAATCATGGGACTAAAACGTATCCAAGCACCCTCTGAATTGGCCTCACGTCTACAATGATGCACTCTTTGACTAGAGAACCACAGTTTGAGCTGTAGCTTGAGGTCTTCAATGACGGTGGCGTATGGAGATGAGTCCACCTTCCGAGGATCAAGCGCTTCCGCCAGCAACTGACAGTCTGTTTCAAAAACGACTCTAATGGCTCCAAGGCATGTTGCTACGTCGATCGCTGCTGCCATAGCGTTGACCTCCGCACCAAAGGCATCTGAAATATTTTCCCCTCGCCCTGCATGCGCGCCTATAAGATCTCCAGCAGCGTCTCGGACCACGACACCCCATCCTCCGTAGGATTCCCCCGGAAAAAAGGATCCATCTATGTTGATCTTCAGAACATCTTCCTCCGGCGGCTGCCATTTTGTTCTAGTTGGTTGCTTTCCTTTATTAGAGAAGTACTGAAGATACTCCATAACTCGGCTTTGTGCGCGCCGCACAATTTCTGGGGCAGCCACAACCAGCTCTCCCTCCCTCAGTTTATTTCTATTATTCCACCATAGCCACCAGAATGTAACAATCCAGCCGCTGCATGCTTGATGCTCTGTAATAGTTGAAAAAAATGTACGAGCAAGGGACGTTTGCCGGTTCTCGTGCACATGGGGCATGGAGGAAGCGTGGGAGGCCGAAACACGTGCTTTTTCGTGCGAGTTTTCCTTTTTTTTAATAACTTCCGATCTACTCCCTCCGTTTCAAATTACTCGTCACAGAAATTGATGTATCTAGAACTAAAATACATCTTGTTATATCCATACTGCGACAAGTAATTCGAAACGAAGAAAGTATTCATCAACTGTCAAGATAGTATAAAGAACACCAGAAATAAAAAATACATTTAGGTCCGTCGACAACTTAGCGACGACTACTTGCACTGGAGCGAGCCGAAGGCGCGCTGCCGTCTTCGCCCCTCCCTCATTGAAGCCGGGCAAATCTTGTTGTAGTAGACAGTCGGAAAGTCGTCGTGCTAAGACCCCATAGGACCAGCTCACCAGAACAACATCCGCCGTCGATGAAGAGAAGCGTAGATCAGAAGGAACCAATCTGTAGACACACGAGCATAGACGAACGAAGACAAGATCCATATGAATCCACCGAAGACAAACGCCGACCGAATCCCGTGAGATTCGCCGGACACAAACCTCCACACGCCCTCCAACGATGCTAGAAACACCATCGGAACGGGGACAAGGCGGGAAGAATCTTATTCCATCTACAGAGAGCCGCCACCGCCGCCTCACCTCTCCGAGCAGGACACAAACCCTAACAAAACTCAAAAAAAGTATGAAAAAATGGAGCCCTCCCGCCGGCAAGGGTCGGGATCCACCATGCCTCCATGGCTATAAGACCATAGAAGACGAGGTAGATCGGCGGCGGCACCGGCGGGAGGCACAAGAAACCCTAGCCAAGGGGTCATATTTTCTTCCCGTGGAAGAAAGTAAACTTCCGTACGAGTTTTCCTCTTGTCTCTGGCGGCTGGAATCCTAGCCGCCACTAGGAGAGGCCGGTCTTCCAACGACATCCTCTGACGGCTCCCCTTCTCTGGCGATCTTGGTCGTCGATGGTGAGGGGGGTCGCCGGATCCACTCGTGTGGATTGTTTTTACTCCCTCGTAGTCTAAGTTTTTAGGTTGTTCATCGTTTTTGCTCTTCGGCGGCGACGATGACGGTGCCGAATAAAGATTCGTCAAATCATTCCTTGGCGAGGCCATTGGTCCTATGGTTGGGGATGAATTTAGAAACTAGTCTATCCAAGCAAGGATGGCGTGGCGGCGGCATCCTTGTGGTGGACCTGTGTCCTCATGCTCCGCCGTTGCGACGGTGTTTGCTCCAGCATCGGCGCGGAGCTTTGGAGGTAGTCAAGGAGCGGATGCAGATTGTGGTCCGCATCGACGACATCATGAAGACGGAACATGTGTTGGGCTCGTGGTTCGTGGATGGCAGGTATGGTTTCCTCCTTCGGCGTCTTAGTCGTGGTGGGGTGCCAGATCTAGATTTTGATGACGTGTCCGGCGTGTTGCCCCAGTCTGATTCGTTCAACGGTAAGGGCTTCACTTTTGATGAGCCACCTTGGAGGTCCGTAAAGCTGCATATCAACGATGGAGCCGTGTCGCGCTCGGGTGAAGAGGTGATTCATCATTCTTTTCTTCGATGGCTACTATGGTGGTGTCGGAGGCAGATGACGTGTGCTGTTGTCAAGCTCAGAGATGTTCTGCTATTTTTTTTCAGTTTTGTCATATCGGTCTTTATGTACTTTGTTCTTTATGATATGAATGTGACACTTATACCATGCACAAAAAGGAAGCGTGGGAGGCCCTTTGCCGTGGCCGTTCGTCCGTAAACAGCGCACACGCTTCGGAAAAAAATTAGATGGTGTACAAAGGCATCTCAAATGGCAATCCATAAATTTTCTCCCGTTCACGGACAAGGAAGACCAGTCTGCAGACATAGATACGAGAGACCGCCATCCAACATTTCCCGCATATATTTCAACCCACATTTGAACTAACCGAATGAAATTCGTGCAAACCAGCCTATATTCAACAAAGTTTGGATAGAAAATAGTACAAATCATCCATATGAAGCATACAAATGAAGTCTAGTACAACAATGTCTCAAATTCGACTATATTAACCAGATGTCCATTAAGTTTTTCATCAACTGTTCAAGCCCTCCCACACATACTCCCCCTTCAGCTTCATCCAACAGTGTGTGTACATAAATGGTCGTCCTTCTGTCCTGTGATACACCATGGCAGCGCGTGCAGAGTACATAATGTGTAAACCAACAATGAGTGAATAAATCAATCCATAAGATGAGCAAGACGAAGCAAGATATACGATATCGTCATCTGTAGCGTGCAATGGTGAAAGGATCGAGAAGAGATTTTTAGAGGGGGGTGATTAGACCCTCAACAAAGAAATGTAGCAATTTTTAAGTTCTTCAAGTTAAGGTGGAGTTTTAGCACAAGTTTAAACATTCACAATACATTTCAAGTAAGCATGGCAAGAATATATGAGCAATGGAAAATAAAGCATGCAAGTTGCAAGAAAGTAAAGGGATGGGATTGAAGTGTGCAAACACAATTGGAGACACAGAGATTTTTGGCGTGGTTCCGATAGGTGGTGCTATTGTACATCCATGTTGATCGAGACTTCAACCCACGAAGGGTAATGTTTGCGCGAGTCCACGGAGGGCTCCACCCATGAAGGTGTTGGGGAACGTAGCAGAAATTCAAAATTTTCCTACGCGTATCACCAAGATCTATCTATGGAGAGACCAGCAACGAGTAGAAACGAGAGTGCATCTACATACCCTTGTAGATCGCTAAGCGGAAGCGTTCAAGTGAACGGGGTTGATGGAGTCGTACTCGTCGTGATTCAGATCACCGATGATCAAGTGCCGAACGGACGGCACCTCCGCGTTCAACACACGTACAGCCCGGTGACGTCTCCCACGCCTTGATCCAGCAAGGAGAGAGGGAGAGGTTGAGGAAGACTCCATCCAACAGCAGCACAACGGCGTGGTGGTGGTGGAGGAGCGTGGCAATCCCGCAGGGCTTCGCCAAGCACCATGGGAGAAGAGGAGGAGGGAGAGGGGCAGGGCTGCACCAACGAGAGATCAAATCGCGTGTTATGGGCAGCCCCATGCCTCAATATATATAGGGGGGAAGGGGGCTGCGCCCCCTTTAGGGTTTTCCCACCCCCTAGGGGCGGCGGCCAGCCCTAGATGGGTTTTGGGGTGCGGCCAAGAAGGGGGGGAGGAGTCCATCCTCCCCAAGGCACCTCGGAGGTGCCTTCCCCCTTGAGGACTCTTCCCTCTAGGGTTCCCTAGGCGCATGGGCCTCTTGGGGCTGGTGCCCTTGGCCCATGTAGGCCAAGGCGCACCCCCTACAGCCCATGTGGCCCCCCGGGGCAGGTGGCCCCACCCGGTGGACCCCCGGGACCCTTCCGGTGGTCCCGGTACAATACCGATGACCCCGAAACTTGTCCCGATGGCCGAAACAGGACTTCCTATATATAAATCTTTACCTCCGGACCATTTCGGAACTCCTCGTGACGTCCGGGATCTCATCCGGGACTCCGAACAACATTCGGTAACCACATACAAGCT